GTGTGTGTGTGTGTGTGTGTGTGTGTGTATGTATATAAGTATGTAAATCTCTTATAACTTTTGAATGGTTGAACCGATTTCATCGCAGTTGGTGCCATTCGAAAGGGCTTCACTAAACTTAGATTTCCTGAAAATTTGAACCGATTCGGACCGGTAGATTTTGAGAAATTTGGAGAAATCTCCAAAAAAATAGGAATAAATAGGAAAAAAATTTTTTTCAGAAGTGGTTTTTTTGGAATAACTTTTAAACGGCTCTACCGATCAATTTCAAAAACTAATCAGCTCTCAACCTTAAAAAACCACGTCGATTGCCGCCAATCCGTTCAAAATCATTTGTTTCGTTCAAGAGATATCGTGAACGAAAAAAAACCGAAAAAAGTGTTTTTTCGGAATTACTCCGAAATTTATAGTTGAACCAATATAGTTAAAACTTAAGAATTTTTTATGAGTCCTAAAAAACTGCGTAGAATACCGCTAACCGCGTGAAAATCGGTTCATTCATTCAAAAGTTATTGCGATTTGAAAATTCAATAAATAGTGTTTTATCAAACCTCTATCAAACTTTTGAGCTCGAAGAGCTCAAAAGCATACAAAAGCTATTTTTTTGAGCTTGGAGAGCCCAAAATAATACACAAATTGTACTTATGAGCTCGAAGAGCTCTAAAACGTCATAAGTGCAATTTCAAGCGTTTAGGTATAGAATTGGCGGGAAGTTGCAGGGATGGCCTTCAGGGTCAACCGTATTCCTAATTTTTTTTTATTGCATAAAACGCCACTAACTATGAATAAAACTTATATTTTTCTGTATTTTATCAACTCAATAATATTTATACTTCAAATAAAGTTGATTTCCTTCGTATTTACATTTTTCTTTATTAATATAACATTTTTCAACATAGGAATTTTAAGACCGCCGAAAAACATCAGTGTAACGGCGTGAGTTCATAACTACACCATTTATAAAATTAAAATAAGTTTACTTGAACACTGATACATATTTCACGATGTATAATTAAATACAGACGATTTTAACTGTTTCTTTAGAAAATTATAGCTAATAAAATTTTCACAGCTATTTTTATTTTCTCTTTTAATTTGAAAAAACTGAAGTATTTGTTCTTTTCAGGTTCCTGAGAAATATATAAAATCCTATCAAGGATCATCGACAACATCAATGGGAACTTCAAACACGCTTGGACTACATTTTGAGACTGATACACGTCATTTTATCGAAAACAGTGGAACTCTTAAAATTCGTTGTTTAGCCGAAGTTGGATCACGTCTGCTTGAAGCGACAAAAAATGTAGAAGTCGTTTATGTAAACAATCAAAGACTGAGTGCAGGTGATTTTCGTGAAAATTCCAAAAATAACGCTAATATAATGCGGTTTAAATTGATATATCTGTCATTCTTTTATTTTATAATCACGTGATAGTTATGTATAGATCATGTTTCAAATTGTGTTGTAAGCAACTGATGTATCGGACATGTACTCGTTTCGTGATCAATAACAAAAATTTAAAATTTTGTTAAACTTTTATACGTACATTAATTAAAATATATAAATATCGAATCTTACTTAAATTTTTAAGATTTGTCATCGTCAATAACAATAAAGTAAAGTAACATTCTTTTTGTTCTTTTATGAAATTCGAGTTTTGTTATTTTGACAAAACTCACTATAAATATCATTGGTACGATATCCGTCCGTCTATGTTATACCTTTTTAACATTCGATCAACTTTAAATATCCGATAATATCTTAGTGTGTAAATGAACTCTATAATAGCACAAAAAATGAAAGTGTTGATTGCAAAGATATGAATGCAATAATATTCTAAGAGTTCAATGAAGCAAATGACTGTTTTCTTATAATTTATTGAAAATAAATAAAAATTACAACTGTAATGTTATTTGAGTTTAGTTTATTTCATGGAATCAACATTTTAATTATTATTATTAATGCCCACTATCATTTCGTTTATCCATTTTTTAAATATGCAAGCAAAAAATAAGTCCTGATTTTATATTTGCGCAGGATTAGAGTCATGTTTGTATGAAATTTCATAAAACTTACTTGCACAAATGAATGAGTAACTAATAATAAAAACGCAATTTGCCACACCAACATTAAAAGAAGTTAATTAGAAGAATTATTTTCATCATGAGTAACGATACTCACAGCAGATATTATAAAATAAATTCAACATGATTCAATAAGCTGTAGATAGCTAATTGCTCATATTCTTGAAAATTAACTTTTCTTTTTAAAATTGTTACTCTTATTCTCAACCGCAGCAATATGATCTATGATGCCCTTAAAATCAGTTCAATATGGAAACCAAATTTTGAGGACGTCATATTATTGGCTGGGTTAATGCTATTTTTGCTAGTCATGAAAAATCCAAATATTAGGATTATTTCCAACGGACTGTCGTGAAATCTCAGTAGATGAAGCTATGATAGAATACAAGGGCAATTTTTCTGTGAAACAATACATGAAAGATAAGCCAACACCTTGGGGCTTGAAGTTTTGGGTTATAGCTGAAGCCTCAACTGGTTATACATTAGATGCAAAACCATATCTTGGGAAAAAAGAAGAGACTGATGAAGATTTATTAATAGGTGAACAGGTTGTTTTAACTTTATCGGATTTTTTTGGTCAGAAAAATCACCAACTTTACTGTGATAATTTTTTCACTTCAGTGGGATTGTAACGGGTTGTTTTGCCTGTTCATCGGTCCCTTAATTAATTTAAATAAAACAATACAATAATAATTAACAACAAAATGATTCTAAATTAAAAAGGGCGCCACTGAGGTTTTATAACGCGGTTCCTGGAACCGGAACCAGAACTGAGCTTATAATCTACAGGGAGAGAGAGAGAGAGAAAGGTAAATTATCTCAAAACAAATTGAGAAAGTTTATTTGGGCAGAGGTGTCGTTCTTCAAACTATGGTGGGATGAACAAACTGAAGAAATCCGCGAAAAGGTGAAATGTTTGATTGCTGATGGGCAGTTAGAAATTGTTGCGGGTGGGTGGGTTATGCCAGATGAAGCTGTGTCGCACTAGATGGGGCAATTGACTCAACTGACAGTTGGTCATCAGTGGTTAGGAACAAATTTGGGTTATAAGCCTACCAGTAGTTGGGCAATAGACCCGTTTGGATTATCACCAACTATGCCTTATTTATATAAAAAGTCAGGATTGCAAAATGCTCTTATTCAGCGTGTGCATTATGCGGTAAAAAAACGTTTGGCCCAAGATAAGAATCTTGAATTCAGATGGCGCCAATTGTGGGATACCATTGGATTGTCTGAGATATTGACACATATGATTCCATTCCCTGGTTATGGTATACAATATAGTTGTGGTCCAGATCCTTACATTTGTTACCAATTCGATTTCCGTAGAGTGTGGAGTTGGAATCCTTTCGCAAGAAAATATATACCTGAAGAAATAACAACAGAAAATTTAGTGGAACGAGCAACAACGTTATTGGATCAATATCGAAAGAAAGCACAACTTTATAGATCAAATGTTCTTTTAGTGCCACTGGGAGATGATTTTCGTTACACCACAAGTGATGAGTGGGATTCCCAGTATAATAATTACCAAAGGTTATTCGACTACATGAATGAAAATAAACTATTTCATGTTGATGTCAAATTTGGCACACTGACTGAATATTTTAATTTACTTAGAAATGATCTAGATATAGATCAACTGCCTAGCTTGTCTGGTGATTTTTTTACTTACGCTGATAAAGACGAGGATTACTGGAGTGGATATTATACATCACGTCCTTTTCACAAGCGACTTGATCGTGTTTTAATAGATGCTTTGCATGGTGCTGAAGTAATATCATCAATAGCATGGGCATCTGGTTTCCATTATTTAGTAGAAGGTAACTTTGAAAAACGCATTACCGAAGCTAGACAATGGCATTTTTTATTCTAGCATCATGACGGTATCACTGGTACAGCAAGAGATAATGTTGTGAAAGATTATGCTGAAAAAATGATTGCCGCTTTAACTAATTTGGCCCACGTCACCCAACAATCAGCAGTTCATTTATTGCGAACTGGTGAGGACTTAATTTTGGAACCAGAATCAGTTTATTTGACTCTAGATCAGATTCGTTCTCATCACACTAGTATTGATGACAAACAGGTACTATCATTTAGCGATAATGACAATTTCAAAAGGGTTGTTATTTATAATTCCTTGCCTCGAAAGCGAGAAAGAGTTCAAACATTATTCGTATCAACGCCTTTTGTGAAAGTTACTGATAGTTATGGTGAGCCAATACAGAGTCAAATATCACCAATTTGGACTGAATCAGCTACTTTTTCAGATGAACATTATGAATTATCATTCGTCGTTACCGTAGCCGGTTTTGGGCTCAATACATACTTGATTCACTCAGTTAAAAGTGATGATAAATTATCGTCACGTGTTAATATTGCGAACATAACTCTACTCAATGCAAAAAATCAACCATATAGCGTACCAGGATTTGAAAATATTCAAATCGTTTCGTCCCCGCAGGAATTCTCGATTAGACAACGTCCAGAAATTTCTGCTCATTTCTCGAAATCTGGACTACTGAAATCGTTGCAAACTGGAGACACTACAGCTTCAGTCGACATGGAATTTGTTACATATGAGACTGATAGTGGTGGTACGTACTTATTTATTCCAAATAAACCAGATCCTGATCCAATTTACACGACAGACGACCACATTATTCATTTAGTCACCGGACCGATCTTATCGCGAGTATTTATACAATTACCACAGGTCAAACAAACTTATACGTTATTTAATTCACTTGGAAGCGATGGTTTGGGACTTCATGTTTCAAATTTATTTGATATTACGGAAACTAATAACTTTTAACTAGTCATGCGCTTAAGTACAAATATTTCTTCTGAAAATGAATTTTTCACAGATTTAAATGGTCTTAATGTACGTAAGTAACAATTCGCTAACTCTTTTGTCTTTACACTTTTGAGTTTGAATTTATTGTTTTATAATTTAGATGATCAAGCGTCAAAGGTTTTCAAAGTTGCCCACACAGGCTAATTATTATCCATTACCAGTTGTTGGTTATATTCAAGATAAACAAATGAGATTAACAGTCGTTACAGGACAACCATTAGGTGCAGCCTCGATGCCTTCTGGGCAATTTGAAGTAAATAAATTTTAATGAATATTTATATAAATTATGTAATAAACACTTGACTGGAATAATAATATTCTGTTAATAGATTATGCAAGACCGTCGATTAATCCAAGAAGATCATCGCGGTCTTGGCCAAGGAGTGACTGATAATTTATTGACAAACCATCTATTCATGTTCGTATTAGAGAAGAAAAAGCCATCGTGTTCTAGTTCTTCAGTAAATCATCCCGCCGGAGCACTATCTGTTGGTGGATTACTAGCAACAGAGGAAGTTCTGCATCCTCTTATTGCAATGCATCCGAATCCATCATCTTTTGATTCTGATTATAATTATAAAGACCACTTCACATCGCTGAGTTGCGATCTTCCAATAGATTTAACTGTGGCCAATCTTCGTGTCTTCTCAATACCCGAAAGTTATAGTAGAGGTATCGGTATAATATTACATCGTCAACCTATAGACACTTGCTATAATGAAAAATGGATCAATCGCTTTAAGCTTTCAAATCATGGCAAAGTGAATATAAAAAAATTATTTAAATTTTTCCAGGACTGGATGGTAAATGAATCTTCATTAACTTTTAATAGCATCGGAGTTTCACTAACTTCCCCAACTGTTAATTTATGCCCTCATGAACTTTCAGCTTTTATAATGCGTAGTTCTAGAGATATGAATAAAATTGTAAATATTGTGTAATTAATAAATTTTTCCATCATGATAGTAAATATTGACATGGAGATAATATTAAAAATTTTATACAAGTTAAAAATACATTTTTAATAATGGATCTGACCGCTATAGATTCAATGTAGTAATTATTTAGTAAGTAGATTAATTCCTATATTTACCTGTCAGCAATAGACATTCCGGTAAGGGTTCATTGCATTTTTCCTTAATTGTAAAATGTATTTATGTTAATAATAGTTTATTTTGCGATAAATGATCTAATTATGTAATTATTTCTCTTTTAATTGATGACTTTTCCTACTTTGAATATTTACCATTTGAAATCACTTAAGTAATTTATAAATTTAAGGGGTAATAATCATTCAGGAAATGCTACATGCGAATAAAAGAATCCGACTCCTATTTGAAAATATTGAATAAAACTTGGTCTAAGCTTCGAAGAAACATCTCCCCCATGAAAAAAAATTATGAAAAAAAATATATTTCGAAATATATAAAAAATATAGTTTAAATATATTAAAAATCTATAAAAAATTTATAAATGTATAAAAAATATGTGTAGTAAATATATTTTTAATAACTAACTTTTGGCCGATTTTCATATATATTTTTTATATTTTTTTTTTATATTTTGTTGCTAGTGTATAGGCTTCTTATGCCCCTTTACACCCCAAGCCTTTGTCAACATTAATGATTCGCTTTGGTTATCTGCACTTGAAGGTTCGTTCGTGGGGCCGTTCCACCTCTTATTCGCGCGGGAGCTACCGCTTCGACCGCTTGTTGCGTTTAAGGAGAGGAACGGAGCCAGGGACGACTGCACTTATATTTGCGGCTGTGGCCCGACTTGTGCTTTCTGTACCGTATTCACCCTGAACCTTACCTTTTCAGGCTTGGAACAGAACCATGGGGAAACCACAGAGAAAACCCATGATAGTACAGTCGGAGCTGGGCTAAGTCTACAGTGACTGATAAAGAACTCTTCTTTATCGACCACTGGAGCATTAGGTCCTACTCCTAGTGTACAGAGATCCCTCGGGCTAGCCAACGCTGACTAGAGTGGTCACTCAGTTAAGTTGTAGCTTAACTGAGTGATCGCCCAAGTCAGACGTGTGCCGCCCGGCTATATCTCTGTCACTTGCAGAGGCAGGCAATGTAACATGTAACGCACATATTTTTAGTTATAATAACTGAAAAATAGTGGTGCGTGCTGGGATCGAACCCGGGTCCCACTCTTTCGAAAAGCGAGCACCGAGCCGACCGAGCCATTGCCGGCCTCTATATATTTTTTATATTTTAAAGATATTTTATATATATATTCAAGATATATTTTAGCGTACATAAAAAATACATAGCTAAAAATATAAAAAAAAATACATTTTGAATATATATAAAATATATTCGAAATATATAAAATATATATGAAAATTGGCTAAAAGTTAATTATTAAAAATATATTTACTATACATAATTTTTTTTTTATTATTATTTATTGCTTTAAATAGATACATATCTTATTTCTAGCAAGGGGGATACATGTACAAAAACATCATTTATATTTTTTTGATATTTAGCGTTACTTAAAATACAATATATACATAGTTCTTTGTTTTCAAGCAAAAATACAATAAAATAGAATAACAACGTTCCAGTGAGAATAGAGGGATTCAGGTTAACAATTGGTTAGATTAAAAGAAAATTAAAATTTAGACTAAGGGTATTACTTCATGAACATTAGTATGTGTTATCAGTATAATATCTGGAGTAACAAAATGATAATAGTAATAACTAGAACGTATTGCCATTGCCATTGCAGGAACAACAAATTTTTTTTTTTTTTTCTTATTATTTTAGAATTATTGGTTTAGAGCCCAGGCTCTTAGTTGCGCACTTTTTTCAGTGAAGTTTACAATAGCTAGTATCGTCTTGATGTCGGTCGTGTTTAGTAGTGATGACAGCGGCACATCTGTACCAAGAAAGCATCCAAGATGATAATTTCGTAGTGCGGAGAACAACGGACACTTTAATAAAAAATGCTCGATGTTGTCCAGGTCGTGCAGGTTACAGAGCTGACAGCTAGTATTGGGTGTAAAGCGTATAATCTGGTTGTTGATGATTAGTTGACAGTATAGCTTATTTGCGAGCCGGAGTTGTGCAAAGATGCGTTTGACTGTCAGGGAGGTTTTAACTACGACGTACTTGGCTGGAGCGAGTTGGAGAGGTCTCTGTATACCGAATTCTAATGATTTAGAGATTCTCGCAGATTCTATGTCTTTGTTTAAGAGGATATTTCGATATTTGGTGAAGATGCTATTAGTTTTGTCTTCCCACAAGCAAGGATCCAGAGACTCCATGAGCTCTACACAGTCGCATTCTATTAAAAATTCTCTGAATTGAGTTGCCCAGTTAAAGGGTTGCGTTTGAGGAGACGACTTCGCAAGTTGAAAAAGACGTACAAGACATATTTTACTAAACAAGGACTCATTATTTTTGAGTGTTTTAATTGTCCAGTTCCACAGCATGTGCATTGCTTTCCAAGCCACGGGTGTAAGCCCGAATTCCAAGTGGAGTACCCAGTCAGGAGTGTTGCGTGGGAGATTGTAGATTCGCTTGTAAAATTGCGTCTGGACTGACTCCAGCGAGTTCCGGTACCATAGTCCCCAGGCTGGGAATGCGTATAAAAATACTGAGGCAACCATAGTGTCAAATAGCTTTGTGAAGACCTTCAGGGAATCACATTTGGCCCTTGCCAGTAGGGCTACAGTAGCTCCAGTAGCACATTTGGCTTTGTTAGTAGCAGATTTTAACGCTGAGAGTCCCATAGTGGTGGAAGAGATTTTCACGCCCAGGTAGGAGTAAGTTTTTACTATGTTTAAGCTAGTACCTTTGTATCTTCTAAACTGTTCAGGGCATTCCTTATGTCGACCGGCGGCTTTAAAAGTGACTATCTCCGTTTTTGTACTGTTGACAGTGAGGCCATTTAGGTCGCAACATTCTTCAAGAAATTTGAGCTTGTGCATTAAGTCCACTTGGGAGTAGGATAATATAACCATGTCATCTGCAAATAGTAGCATTAGGAGGTCACTTACACCGTTAAGGTCGAGACCTCTAGCGCCTTTCTCTCTGAAGAATAATTCGAAATCGTATAGAAATAGTATGAATAAATCCGGACTTAATGACTCGCCTTGGAGCACGCCTTCCGTAGCTTCAAATTTATTAGATTGAACACCCTGAGATACAATCTGTATAGTAGCCTTATCATACAAGGATTTGATAGTATTGATAAATTTAGTGCTGATCCCGATGTGATGCAACTTCTGCCATAACCTCCACTGAGGTACAGAGTCAAAGGCTCTTTGTAGATCAACAAATATACCGTAGATTTCACGTCCATCTCCATGCCTGAATTGCAACTGGATTGTATTTATCAGTGTGAAGATAGCGTCCGAGCAGCTGCGGCCTCTACGGAAGCCCATTTGACACTCAGGCAAGATATTTTCCATCTCAGTCCACATTGTTAGTCTCTTTTTAAGTACAGTAGTGAAGATCTTCATGATTGTATTACAGAGAGCAATTCCACGGTAGTTCTTGGGATCATTTTTGTCACCTTTCTTGTACAGCATGGTTACCAGTGCTTCAGCCCAAGGACTAGGAACTTGCTCTTCATTCAGTACGTTATTATATAGGCATCTGAGATTTTCTTTCCAGTGCGGCGTTAAGCTTTTGTAGACTTCATTAGGTAGAAGATCAGGACCTGCAGCTTTACCAACTTTGAGTGATGATAATACGGCATTTAGTTCTATATAAGTAATTTCACTGTCCAGTGTGTCGTTGAAGATTCTCACTAATATTGGAGGAGCTATGTGTCTAAGAGAGTAGACCTTGGAATAGAAATCATTCCAGGAATCGATGGGGATGGATGAGCGCAGGCCAGTCTTGTATGTAAGTTTTCTAATTGCTGCCCAAAAGTTAGTAGGCATCGACACTGCATTGAAGGCGTCATTAATTTGTTTGTTGTATTCCTTTTGCTTTACTTTGCAAATATCTCTATATATCTTCTTATATTTGGCAGCTTCGGTTCGAGCAGGTTGGCTATGATTTTCTTTTTTGTAAATTTTGAGGGATTTACGATATTCCCTCTTGGCCAATTTACACTCCAAATCATACCAGGGGCTATCTTCATTAGAAAAAGACTGTCCAGAGTTGCTCCTTCTCATTACTAGGTTGGCTTTATCGGCTGCAGTAAATATAGCAGAATGTATTGAGTTGTACTGAGAGTCCAGGTCGTTTGAAGAGATGGGGGAAATACAGTTTGCCAAATGATAGCTGTAGTCGTCCTTTGCGTTGTCAGACCACTTAATCCTAAGCGAAGGTGTAAGCGGTTTCCTGGTGTTGCATGCTTTGACATTTTCAACATCCACGGCAATATCCACAGCGATTTTTAAGTTCACAGGCCTATGATCCGATAGAGTAGGCTCTAGAACGACCTCAAGGTCTACTACATGGTGTAATGCAGGTAAGTCGATCCATACTAAATCGATAATGGAGGTCCCGGCACCATCAAAAGTAGGCTGTGCTGGTACATCGCTTTGTGTCCTGCCGTTTAATAGTACAAAATCATTTTCTAGCATGAAATCCATTAGTCGACGACCTCTATCACAGATGGATTTGTCGGAGCTTGACATTGAATTCTGAAGAGCGGAGTCCAAGAAAAGCTCTTCCGGCCAAGGGTTCATTGAACCTACTTTTGCATTTGAGTCACCTCCGAGGATGAAGGCATCGTAGGTGTGAGCAGTTTTAATCTCATCAATTGTGTCCTGAAATAAATCCAGTAGATAATTTAAGTTTAAACATTTACGGAAGTATACTGACCCGATAATCAAAGTCGTCGATCCAGCAATTATGAGGTTAAAGATCCACCAAGGAGTAATGTCCAGCACGGTTGAGGTATATTTTTTACTAATCGCTGTGAGTAAACCTCCACTTGCACGACCTATAGCGTGTTCTCTGACAGCGTTTGCCCAGAAGGTATTATAGTTTGATAGAGTAGTAGGAGGCGTAGACGGAGGGCAAGTACACCAAGTTTCACAGGTAGCTAGAATATCGGAAGAATTGATCAGAGAGCAGCCTTTGATATTTCCGAGGCCGTGTAGGTTCCAGAAAGTGATATTTATTGTTCCTGCTAGGCATTGTTCTTGTTATTGAGTGTGTCCATTGTGGTTAGTGTTGAGTCGACCAAGAGGTGGTCCTGGACGCTATGGCACCAAAGTGTTTTCCACATCGCTCCATGTATATTCTAGGTTATCAATTACAACCCTATTTCCTTTTCTGATAACCTTTTTGCCCTGTTGAGAGTTATTTTTAATAAATTGTCTGATATTCCAATCTATCGTTCGTTCTTTAGGGGTGCGATCAGAGTCGATAAAGATTTTTGTACCATTTAACTTGGCTTTTTTCATTTTTAAAATATCCGCTTTCAAGGAGGCGCTAAATAGATCTACGATGATCCGTTTCTTGATCTCCTTTATGGAAATATTGGAACTCGTTATTCCAAATTTTTCTTTAAGAAATTGCTTGACCTCATCATGGTGGTTGGCAGTATTAAAAGAAAGTCCTGTGATTGAAATCTTCGTTCTCCTGTTCTCTCTTTCAAGCGTTTCAAGTCTATTGGAGAGGATTTTCAGCTGCTCTGTTTGAGGAGAGTTGACAGAAACATTAGAGGTAATTTTTGGATGTTCTCAATATCAGAGATTTTAACAGTGTTTTGCTCAAGTGCAGAAATACGATTACCGAAGCCAGTTTGCGTATCTTTTAGTTCCGTGCTTAAGGCTTCAAATTTTTTCTCGAACTCTTCAAATGCAGCCGAGTTTTTTTTAAAGCTCTCTTCCATTTTTGTAGAGAGTTCAGCATGTTTTTTGGCTTGATCTTGCCGCATCTCTGTAAGTTCCTGCAAAATTTTTTCCATGCTTTTTTCCATGTTGACGTCGTAAGAATTGTCGGATGCAGGAAGGGTGGGGGAAACAGTTAGAAGGTTGGTTTTTTTGGTTGCTGGTCTTTCTGAATCTTTGTTTACCTCTTCTGGATCCCTTTTCCTTTGTGTTTCCAGATAGTTTAACATAGATGGACAGGAGTCAAATTTGGTATTCAAAAGCCTTTGTAAGTTGGTTTGCCTGCCTCTGTTGTTAGTTTTGGTGATGACAGTTGGCACTTCAGACACAGAGCAGCTTTCTTCGTGACCAGTCACGTTAGTTGAGTTATCACTTGAGATAGTAATTGGGTCTTTCGAGACTCCAAAGATGTCGCTGGGTGTCATCGAAGAGTGAGATAGCTACTGAGTAATATCCGAGACAGAGAACTAGGCAAAACTAACCTGCCTGACCAAACTTAGCACAAAAATGATTCCATGTATAAATATTAAACGACGTATAAGAGTTTCTATTATTTTAGGGTATCTATTGACACTGGAGTTTTTATGTAAACACTAAACAGTAACTTAATTATTGCACTTTTTGTTGACAAGGATAAAAGAATAAGGAGCTTAAAATGCACGATGCGTTAGGAACAAGCGCTGGTGGCGACCCCCCTTTACTATACATAATTTATATATATTTATATATTTTTTATATATTTATATATTGGGGGATGACATGTGGCGCCAAACGTATCAACACGCATTGTTATAAGTCTCTCGGTTTTACTCAAAGTGATTAAGTTATAGTGTTTGAAAAAAATGCTGTTAGTCATGTTTTAACTAGGGGTGTGCGAATATTCGAAATTTCGAATTACTCGAAGCGAATCGAATCAAACTATTCGATGCGAATATTCGAATTATTCAAATAGTTCGAGAAATTCGAAAGATTCGAATAATTCGAAACTTTTTCGAATCTTTATTAAATCGAAGAGACGTGATGTTAGACACTCAAGTTCCACTTTAAACATGAGCTAATAGCTTTTTAGTGTTTATAGTATAAGCTCTAATACAACTAGCTATCTTGATTCAATAAATTTCAGTCATTTTGAATCAAATCAAGCAATGATTTGACTTCTTTTACTCACTCAGTCGAGTCGCGTTATGAGCCCTCCTTGTGTCTCTCTCTTATTGACGCGAGTCTGGTTAAAAAACAAAGAAAACAAGCCGGACTCATAACGCGATTCGACTGTATTACAAAGTCGTAGCAAATTAAAATATTTAATGTCGACAAAATTCTTTCTCAAAACCCAGGTAAAACGTCAATCTTCTGATTTATCGAGGATTTTCAAATTTATTGATAGTTATTTATCTTGCGCAATTTGATTCTTATATGATAACGGAGGTACATTTTGATCTAAGATTACTTCAAAAAATCGTTATTTTTGTTTTAAAAGGTCACTCCAAATTTTTTAAAATTACAAAAATCGTCAAAAATCGAATATTTTTTTTTTCTCGTTACGGTATAATTTTATAAACTAAAAAAAAATGAGATTCTGAAAATTTCAGTTCAAAATTTGAATTTTGAAAGGTCGCTCATAATTTTTTTCAATTTATTAGTGCATTAGTTTAGATTTTTTCGAGTGACCTTTTACCATTTAAATTAAAATTCCATGTATTTTTTTTCTTTCATTTAGTACAATAATCGATAAAAATACATCACGAGATGAACTAGAAATCAAGCACAACATAGAAAATATAATTTTTTTTTTAATTTAATAATTTTATTTAATGGACTGCCAGGTGTGAGTTCGAATCCCAAGCTGGTCTTAGAAACCAGCTTGGTTGAGATTTGACCTTGCCGCGTAGGTTAAGATTTTTACATACCAAAAAAACCCTACCGTACGACTCCCAACAGTTAAAGTCGGCGATATGACTAATTAAAGAAAAAAAAAAATTATGAGCGACCTTTCAAAATTTAAATTTTAAAGTAAAACTTTCAGAAACTTATTTTTTTTGGTCTATAAAATTATACTGCAACGAGAAAATGAAATAAAAAAAAAAAATTCGATTTTTGATGATTTTTGAAATTTTAAAAAGTTTGGAGTGACCTCTTAAAAATGTTTTTTTGGGCCATCCTAATACATACATACATACAGACGTACGGACATCATCGTGAAAATAGTCAGTAAAACTTCTTAGGGCTTCAAAACGTCGAGATCTGTTTTGAAACCTCGATTTTTGCAAAACGGGGTAAAACCAATAATTTCCCGAATTTTCGAAAAACATTAATTTTCTTAGAATAAAGTTAAAAATAATTGGTTATTTTTGCGATCAACCGATTTTTTCTGCATATAAAATCGATAAATTTTTACATGTGCATAAACAATCGAAAAAATTTTTCCATGTTGATTTTTTGCTCCTGAAACTGATGACCGTGAAAATTAACATTTACGATAAGGAAATTATGAAAAGAGAAAACGCATGGATGAAATTAATCGAAAAAGTAATTAAGCCTAATCATTGCTTGATTTGACATGAAATCACTAAATGAAGGTTAAAACTAAGTGTCTAACACGATGGTGTTTCGATTTAACGAAGGTTCGAAAAAGTTTCGAATTATTCGAACCTTTCGAACTATTCGAATCTTTCGAACTATTCGAATCTTTCGAACTATTCGAATCTTTCGAATAATTCGAACTTTTCGAATAATTCGATATTCGACTCGAATCTCGAATCGAATCCTTAGGTTCGGTTCGATTCGATTGGAGCAAGATTCGCACAGCCCTAGTTAGTATGTCATTCAGTATGTAACTCTCCGTGGGTAATTTGCGCGCCTGCGGCCTTCCTTGGTTCTGGTAGCCGTTTCTCAGGCTCCCTCTCCGAAATCGAACTCTGATTCCCCGTATTTATAATATTGATAAATAATTATTTTATTGATAATCAACAAATAATAGTTTAAAAAAACTAAAAAATCACGCATTTATAAATAAACCAAACTAAAAAGTAAAAAATAAATAATAGTTTAAAAAAACTAAAAACACGCCTTTTTATAGAAAACCAAACTAAAAAATAGAAAATAAATTTAAATTAAGAATA